CCTGTAGGGGCCGGGCCTCGGGGAGGAGGGCGGTGCGGGGTAAGCCTGGCCCTTGCTCTGGTAACTGCCGGCTCGGCAGGTCGGAGTCGGTATCTGCACAACAAGGAAGGAAAAACTTCTTGACAGGTCGAGGGTTTGGACCAGGCCGCCTCAGCGGTGGCAGGTCACCCCTGCTGCCATCGTCAGAAATGGGCTCGATATTCGGGCGGTCCCGTTGTCCCCTGTGAATACGAAACCCGGCCTCTGTTTTTCTCCTCAATGTGTCCTGATGCTCGGGCGGCCATCGTAGAAGACAGTCCCGTTGTCCTCTGTGGATATGAAACCCGACGCCTTTATGGTCTCTTTTTCCCTTAAAGAGAAAAATAGAGGGTATAAAGGTGCCCGGTTTTGTATCCGTAGCAGATAGAGGACAACAGGACCATCCTTGGGGTGTTTATTTCATGAAGAGAAAAACAGAAGACTTAAAGGAGTCCGGCTGAGTATTGATAGAGGACAGGGGACAACAAGACTGTGCTTGGGCTGTTTATGTCCTGTTTTTCTCTTCAAGAAATAAACACCCCAAGCACAGTTCGGTTGTCCTCTGTTCTTTATCAATACGAAACCGGACGCCTTTATGTCCTCTATTTTTCTCTTCAAGAAATAAAGGCATTGGGTTTCGTATCCATAGAGGACAGAGGACAGCGGGACTGCAGTCTATGATGGCCGCCCTAACATCAAGACACTGAACAGAAAAACAGAGGACATAGGCATTGGGTTTCGTATCAATGGAGGACAGAGTAGCAGAAAACTGGAATGTCCTCTATGATGGCCACCAGGGGGGCAGCAATTGGGGGGCTCCCCCTGCAGTGATCCGGGGGGAACCCCCTGTGGCTAATTGCGCTTTCTGGGGGGGGCATTCCCTGCAGCCACTCACCCTGTCCAGGGAGGGGATGCCCCCACAGCTAATCATGCTGTCCAGGGAGGGGGTTCCCCTGCAGCCAATCATGCCTACTTGGGGGGCTGGACCTGATGACCTTGTAAGGTCCCTTCCAGCTCCTAACAACAACTAGTGGGGTGTGGAAAGAAAGGTTGGGAACTGCTGATCTAGTCCCTGGGGCAGGTCCCTGGCTGGTGTCTGTGAGCATAGTCGTCCCGGAGCTGTGCTGCCAGACGCCGCTGGAAGAGCTAGCCATGAGGACCCTGGCAGATATTACACTGTAATAATTTTGTGGCTGGTTTCACTGTGCCTTAAAATGAACGTGGGCCCAAATGGCCCCCAGTGCAGTCATCGCCAGCTGATGAGCCCTGGCAGGATTGGGACCACATTGAAGCACGAACCTCAGTGCAGTCTCTGCTAGGTAACCATCAGCTGATCGTCATCTGGCTCCAGGGTCTCAAACTAGTCCTTTGGGTTCCCAGAACCAGCTGACAGCTGATCATAAGGCACCTTTGCTGTTGCAGATGGAGCCTGGGATCATGGCAAGTAGGGCGCAACTGGAATCTGATATCTGATTCCCAAAATTACAGGTCCTGCAGTACACATGTGGCATAGCTGGTGGTGCAGTTTTTGGGATCATGGATCAGATCCCATCCCATCACTTCTTTAACTGAATGTCTGTCAGCAGTTTGCATTTCTTTCTTTTCTTTTCTTCTGACTGATGCATTACCACAGTGGCAAAACTCACAGTCCTGCTTTATATTCAGGACTCCTTCCAAAAAGGGGCGGGCAATTGTTTTGGGCAGAGGGCTGCTTACTGAGTTTCGGCAAGCCATCGAGGGCCCCAAGACAGGCAGCCCAGGGCAGATTAATATTAATTTTCTAAATTTTTTAGGGGCCCTGTGGGCTGCATCCAGCTCCTGGGCCGCATTTTGCCCACCCCGGAATTAGGGGCAATGTGAATTGAGAGTACCTTCCTTGATCTTGAGAATCTTTCTTTAGGCCTCCAATGCTTACTCAGGCTACACACTCTGACCCATTATAAGCCTCTCCTCAGTCACTATTGGCATTCAGAAAAAAGTCTTCCTATTTAGAGAACATTTGTCTTCAAATCTAAGGGCTTATTTGAATTAAGGTAAACTTGTTAAAAGGTTTCTTGTTTCTACCTCCATAAGTGTTGGGTTTCCCTCTCCTAAGCTGCCTTTTTTCTCTTTCAGTTTGTTGTGTGAGATCTCAGAAGGCATGTAATGATAACTGGACTTAGAACAGAAATGCAAATGTTGGACTCTAACCTGGGAGGAGGCTCTTATCAGGTTTCAGTAGTTGTAAAATGAATTGTGTTCAAGCGTGTGAAGGTGTTTGTGTTTTTAAACCTATGCTCTTCCGGGTTGGGAAAAAAATAGCTGTGATGGCACTATCTTGAACACAACTGAAGTTGACAGGAATGGAGGAAGGCTTTTGGGACATACCCTCCCCTATTAAAAAAACACTGTTATTTACTGTATGAATGATGGGAAAGTAAATTGATTACTATAGGAATCTCCTGGTAATTAATAATTTGAGATCCAGTCTGGCAGTTTTTATCCATACTGAGTGGTACTTAGTCCAATTGAACTTAATAAGGCTATTTGTGCAAATAAGGGATAAAGAATCAGGATGCTTGTTAATATCTTTCATTTAGATTCCAAACTATTTTACAATTGGAGAATCAAATTCTGCCCAGATACTCTATTGATCATCAAGGTAGCTTAAGCAATTAAAAGACACCCTACTTAGCATCTCTCCAGGGCAAGAAATCACAAGCAGCCAATCTTTGGGAGCAAGACATCCAAAGAAAGCTGTAGAGGAGAAGAGGCCATGGGTTCCTTCCCTCATACTGGTCAGCAGGTACATTGCAGGAAATGTGCTACATCACCTAAAGGAGTGGAGAATAATCTTGCCATGCTGTCCCTGTGGATTGTGGAGCTATAGAGGGGCCTGTGTGAACCATTAGCTAACCGGTATGATAGAGCCCTGGTATTTACATTTAGCAGTACTAATTTATGCTTATATCCATTTACGCTACTCTGACAGTGCAAGGGGTTTTAAAGCCTGAAGTGCAACCACTTTTAGCATAAAAGATAGCAATCTACATCTGACAGACACACTATACAGCAGTTTAGGATGTTCAATACAGTATACTATGGCCAATAGGAACTGCAAGGATAATTTATGTGGGCAGAATTAGAATAAGAAAATGTGTTTTTACATTTACATGTGGCATGGGCTTTTAAAATATTATGATTCCAAGTGCAACCTCAATAAGTCTGTTTAATAAAGAAGGCACTGCTATCCAGATGAAATGCAGTCAAATAGTAAAGCATTCCCTTTGGCTTTTCTGTTCTTACATTCACCACTAGATTGCATTGTAGTTCAGTGATTAAAAATGTCAATGAACGTGACAGAGAGCAAAGTGCTAGCTTTGGGCACCATGGCCCAAGACTTTAGATGTTTATTCAATATATTCATTTCTACAAAGTCCCTGTTACATTTTTGGAAGTGGTCTACAAAGTCCCTGCTACATTATTGAAGTTGGTCTTTTACACTGTTCTTGCGTTGCGGACAACACAGTAGTGTCTGAAATCTTCATATAATTGTTTGTTTGGTTTTTTTCTGCTTGAATTTATAATGTTAGAAGGAGATAAAAATCTAACTTACTTTCTTTTTAAAAAAAATATTTTCAGAATGATAAAAATAAGAGGAACGAAGGTACTGCTTTAACAAAATAAACAATGCCATTTACAGAGTGATCAAAAAGGATCAAAACCTTTTTAAAGGTAAGGAATACCTACATGGGAAGAAATAGCTGGTAGGGGAGAACTCTTAAATTGGATAATGATATTTCTGTTAATCCATTAATGCACAAAGTAAGAAGAAATGGTAATAAATATTTTGGATAGTTGAAATGTTCTCTCAATTAAAGTTGTACAATCTTAGGAATAGAAACACTAAGCCATGTTTATTCCAGGTACTAAGAATCTTGTTGAGAGTATGGTAACAACTTACAAAACCAACATGTTTTATGTTACTTTCTATTGGAAAAATATGTTTTTAATATTAGGTGTTAACAGGTCTTACGTGCTATTTTCCTTTTCTTGCACAGCAGTGAGGACAATTATTTCAGGTCTTATGAACATTATTTGTATATACAAATTTGAAAAGTTGATAATATCCTTCTGTTCTATTTTTGAGGTACTATAAATACCTGTGGCCTTTATAATACACTGAAGCATTGTTCTAAGTTAACTGTCCTTGTGTTTTAAGGAACAACATCAAAACCCTTACCTGAAATCTGACAGCCTGATTTAATTGTATATTTACAGGCTATATGTCAGAAAATCCCAAACTTACACAGCAGGGTCTTTTCAGAAATCATCAGCTGAACTTGACAGTAGAGTTTTGTTATAGAAATAATGTTGGCCTTTAGATTTCACCCTAGTTTTACGTCAGTGATGCCCTTTGACAAGTTACAGCAAGGGGAGTTTAGGTTAGATATTAGGAAAATCTTTGTCACTAGGAGGATAGTAAAGCACTGGAACAGGCTACCCAGAGAGGTTGTGAAAGCTCTGTCCTTAGAAGATTTTAAGACCTGGGTAGACAAAGCCCTGCTGGGGATGATATAG